GAATACACTGTATGAAATATTCGGCTGAAAGAACAACCCGAGCCAACAACAGCAAGCAACCAACACAATACCCAGACACACGAACAATACACCTGGACTGACCCCTGGGTGGTGTGCAGGCAGTTTCTGTAATAGTACCATGCATCAGCCCAGGGGAATGCGTGTCCTAGACGCGCGTCATATTAACCCCCTGCCGGTGTCCATGCGCGAGGCTGTGGAGTTTTGAACCCACAACCTCATACCACAATGCGCATTTCCAACCGGTGCTCTAACCACTGAGCTACATCAACTGGACTATCCATGTTTTTCCTAATTGTCGCTTAAGTAGCCAAGCAATAGGTCAGCAGTTCTCATAAAAAAAAAGAAAAAAAAAAGGAAAAAAAAAAGAAGAAGATTTGGAACTCCAATGGCAGGGGCTCAGACCGACTAGCATCATTTAAAACGGTGTATGGCGGTCTTTTCTCATTTAAAAATGCATAAACAATGCTATTTTTTATTTAAATGAATGCAAAGAAAAGCCCCCCCCCAAAAAAAAATTACGGGGCCTGACATCGACATCGGGACAGTACAGGCTGTGCATCCACACCTCACTGTGCATCCACTGGTCGCGGTACATCTGCATGCGACCTTCCCGCCGGCCTGTTCGCAGTCTTCCACGGAAATCAAGAAATCTCGATATTCTCTATTTCTGCACAAAAAAAAAATAGCAAGGCGTGAAGCTTCACCCCCCCCCCCCCAATAAATGGAGCAGCCCGACAGGTAAGCCCTCAATTCTGACGGTTCTCTTACCACCGCCAGGATAGAGGGATATCGCAAGGGCCTTTCTCAAAAAAAAAANGGAGCAGCCCGACAGGTAAGCCCTCAATTCTGACGGTTCTCTTACCACCGCCAGGATAGAGGGATATCGCAAGGGCCTTTCTCAAAAAAAAAAAAGAAAAAAAAAGAAAAAAAAAAGCATAGAATTGAAGCTTCGCGCCAACGCAAAGTGGCCAACTAAATGGCCAACAAAAGAATTAAAAAAAATTCTACTGGCCGATGGGCAGGTGCCTCCACGAAAACGAAGAGAAGAGAATCGACAGTTGCAGTCGATACGCAAAACGATCAACGACTGACCTTTACCACGGACGGCCGCGCGAAAACCACAAAGCACAAGCGTAAATCGGACCCAGTCGGCTCCAGGAACAAGTCTGTTTTTCAGACCTTTTTTTCTTTTTTTATTCTTTTTGTTTTTGAAAAGAAAAGAAAGAAAGCAACCTGTGGTAATGGTAGGGGGGCTGATAGGAGGAGGTACCACTAGCACTCACGGGGAGGCTCCATCTATGGGTGGGGAGCAGCACCTGCTGGGGCGAGGTCCCATTAGCAGTCGAATAGGAGTGTGGCCGATCCAGTGTGACACTGAGTGGCAGCGGCCAGACAATTTCATTACGAATTTCTGGGCTGAGAAAACAGGAAAAAGGCCAAAAAAAAAAAGAAGAAACAGAGACCTCCCACCGGAAATCACAGCAGCATGCTTCCCAGCTATCAGATCCCAAATGATCTGATGGTGGTGGTTGCAACAACAGTGAACAAAGCAACCGTCACATTTTCTGGAATAAACTCGACCTCTGACAGCAGTGATCCTGACACCCTCCATATACTCTGTGATTGAAGGAGGGCTCCACCCAATGAGATAATTGCACAACAGCAAGTAAAATGCTGAAAATCTTCTATCCAGTGGGCTAAGGCCAACCCCAACCTCGTTTGGGGTTGGCCACACCCCCAACCGATTGAAAAGATTCTGGCGGGAAGCTGTCTTTGCACGGGCATGCCCAGTGTTAAGGAGAGGAGGAGGGGAACGAGGATCTCCTTACTTTTTCGGGTAATACATGCAAAATACTGACGCTGGGATCACGAGTAGTGCACGGCAGGATTTGGGTCACTCAACTGCCCCACAAACTCGTTTCTATCCTATCCCGTTGCTAGTGGGACCTCGCCCCTGGAAATCAGGTCCAGCGTCCCTGATTGTGGTTGTTAAAACACCAGTAACTTTGCCAAGCCATTTTTCTCTGATGCTGTCGTATGCGTGCCCACTGGAGTGGCTGGCAGCACCAGCCAAAAGAAGGAACACGCTAGTTCGGATTTTTTGGCCGTGCAGGGTGTTCCCAGCCTGGGCAGGGGAATGGTCAGAAGCACTGGTGGAAGTGGGGTGTGAACGGATAGGTGGTTGACATCAGTCTTGGGGGCACCTTCTAGGGAGTCGGGTGATAGCACTGCCTGGTTAGGACTGTCCTAGTCCCTGTGCTGTTGCCGACGCACAGGGAGAGCTGCGCCGGCACCATTAGGGGTAGGTATATGGGGTTGCGCTGGGTAGAGGCACCTGCCTACATATAGGGGCCCGCTCCGGTATAGGTGTCCTCCATGGCCACGAATCCACCTTGACCACTCACAGGATGTGGTTAGAGGGAATGTGGTGGGGCACTGAAATGGATGGGGGCATCGGTAGGGACAGTGGGCACTGGGCAGCTATGTGACACCCGCGGCCTAGGTCGTGGGCATTTCGGCCGCTGCAGCGGAGAATCTCGGCCGCGGCCGCGGCCGATGAGGCCCAATCCACGGCCTGTTTTTTTAATATATATTTTTTTACCCCTAAAAATACGTAAAAAAAACATATACATATATGGGGGTGTAGGGCTTGGAAAACCCTACACTCCTAATTTTGTTTTTTTGGAATCTGATGTTGTTTAAGGTTTTTAAGAAATCAAAAACTAAATTTCGATTCAAACAAAATTAAAATATATATATATCGTCAAATAGAACTGCTCGGTAAACCGTAGGCAGAGAGGGAGAAGAGGACAACAAACGAGGGGCTGTGACAAACTGTTTCGTCGGAGTTTCACCGACTCATCAGGAGGCTGAACCCTCAACAGTC